AGGATGTTAGGATTATAAAGGAATTACTTAAAATATTTTAAATAAAATCTATTTTAATTTATTAATGAAGTAAATGTATGTTAACTACTATATTACATCCGATGAAACACAAGACACTACAATTACAATACAAAAATGTAAGCAAAATTATATTTCCGGATTATATTTTGCATTTAAGTGTTATTATTTTTTACAGTGCTCATCATTATTGATATTGTTTTATATTTATCCAATTGTTACTGAAACTATTATAAATACTTTTATTTATTTTCACCATTTAGCAAAGATTGATCACCAAGTATTGTTTCACCAACAAATATTAATTTCATCCTCTGTTTGTATATAAAATAAAACTGTTCCAAACGATCATAAATGAAGATAAATGTAATAAATGCACATCGTAGACCGTTCTGTCCATTAAACAAAAATATAGTAGAGGTTTGCAAGGTATCATTTAAAGAAAGATAGCGCAAGGAGATTGGGTGGCGGAGGAGGGTGATTTCTCATTGTATGCATTGTACAAAAGGTATATTTCACGTAACCCCTCAGACTAATGGCTCTGCCTCCCAACGACAGCCGTGTTTTTATATTTGTGCGTTCATTTATGTTTCACTGTTTGATTTTACACCTCCATAAACATACACAAAACATAAATGCTGCTTGGAAATAATTGCATTTTATCCAATCACAAATATTACTTGTAAAAAAAATAATAAGCATTCGTTTCATAATTAAATTATTGATTAATGTACTTTGTTTAGTTAATTTATAATTAATTGTAATTTAATTTGATATTGATTGTGTCCAATCAGGAATACTATATAATTAATTAATAATAATAATATTTATTGCAAGAAATAACCAAAATATAAACTCATACATAGGTCTATTGACCATAGGCCTTTCTGTCCGTTAATTAATTATTAAATATATATTCATTTAATAATCATTAATAGCCTAGAGTTGTGATAAATATTTATAGTATTGAACATTTTTGCGTTTTTTTTTATTATCGCCCAGAAGTCGCGAACGAGTGTTATATTTAATATTAACTTAAAATGAACCCTTAGAATTAATCATGCAAAATTTCATTTTTGGCCAACCTTGTACAATTTATATATTTTTATATTAATTGGATAATTTGCCATGAATTATCTAGTGATAAAAATATTAACATTTAAAATATGATTAAACATTTTTATTATTCACAATTATGACCAAAAGGCTAAAAGTTACTAAAATAATAGCATAAATTTCGCCTGTTATACTAATTACAGTTATTTGCGGCCAAAAGCAAGTTCATAAATATTTCCATTGAGAAGAATTCATATTTCCTGAACATTGAAGAAATTATGCAAAATATAAAAAATGTTTCAAATATTTAAATAAAAACAGTGCTTCCATCGGCTACCTTTCTTTAAGATTCAATAGATTTTTTCATGAGAAGAGATATATTAAAAGTTTATTTTTAGCACAGGTTGTTACTGTCAGTCCCAGTTGTTTTCTTTTTGTTGTGATATGTTTTTTTTTCGGATGAAACTTCTATAGCTTTTGAGTTAGTGTTAGTGATGTCTAAATTTAAAATAAGACTAATGTGTTCGTGAGTTTTTTTTTCTAAGCATTCTGTGGAGTTTGGTCGCTGCATCAATCTCTAATATATACTTTTATTTCGCCTTTAGTTAATGATCATCAAAAAAGCATATTAAAAATAAAATTAAGGCTTTGTAGTTTGGCGCAAAATATAGCCAAATGATGTACTGAAAAAGAAGATAACATCAAATAAAATGAAGTTATCCAGATGGCTCAATCAATAGGTTTCTAATGAAGAGGATGTTAGAAATTTATTGAAGGCAGATCATGATGGTTGTTCAGTGGAGGATTTAAAACAAAGAAAATGAAGACGAAAATAAAGAAGTTCTCGTTGAAAAAAATGTTAAATGTCTAAATAAGATTGTTAAATGAAAAAGAAAAAAGCAGTAAAAGTCAATTTAAGACTAAAATTTAAATAAATAAAAAGATCAAAATATTTGACCAATTAATATGTTACGAAAAATAAATATTTTAAAATTGTATTATAAGTTAAGTAAAAAGAATTTAATTTTCTTTACGAAAGAACGTGTACCCATTGTGGCCAGGATTTTTAAGCAAATGCTTAACAAAGAAATTTCGCGCAACGCATCCTATTCATTAATCCAGTTTTGATTTTTATACTTTACAATATTCCATGAGACAGTACACAAAATTACTCTAAATAGTTATATAGCTCTATGTAGAGAAGTTTTAAATCTTTCATTCAATAAAATTAATAGCGAATTTGAGTTAATATATCAATGTCAAATTATTATGAGCAGTCCTAGACTAAACCTAGCCTTGACTATTAACTACATGCGCAATAAATGTTATTATTAATTTCAGCAATTTGAAATGAAATATTAATCACGCTAAAGTGAATTCTGAGTTAAACAAAAACTGCGATAATTTATTGGGGCATGAGTACTGTTCTAAGAGTTCTTATGCCTCCGTGGACACGGGTTTGCTTTCGGGGTGGATAGACAGAGGTGGCGTTGTAAAATGGATGTGTTTCGAGGATTCGGCCTTTCCTGACCGCATCACACTTATCCCTCATGACTAATCTATCTGCTAGGGGTGTCAATGGGCTATAACAAGATTATGGTTAGGATTACGTGCCCCATTGTTGCATCATGCATCGTCCGATAAAATGCGCATGTTGTTCACGTTGTTTGACGGGTCACTGAATAATAAACGTCCTTTACTCAAAATATTACCCTTTTTTATATTCATCAAACATTGCTAATGTTATTTTATTTTAATCTTCTTATAATTAAATGTATATAAATGAAATCAATACAAGTAGCTTAATTTTCCTTTTGATAAACTCCACTCCGCCCAAAATAAATACCAATGCAACTGATAAGTTTGTAAGCGGATCAAAACCTTCGTGTTCCAACCATAATAATACATTCTGACCGCATTCAATGACTGAAACGTGCACGGGAATTACACAAATGGCCATAAAGAAAAAGCGTTGTGGGGCGCATTTCAAGACAGTACCGACTTATCGAATTTCTTTCAGGTGCTCTCCGAATCTAGGGTCCTTATGACCCCATCCTACCTCCCAAATAGGATTTTCGTTTATCCGCGAATGTACACAATTCTTATACGTTTTGTTCCTGCGTCGCTTTCGGTTCTGTAGAAAAAAAGGTAAATGCGAGTCGGACACATTTACGTACTACGCTTTTTCTACCTTCTATTCCCCCTTTATATTTATTACGGATTTCCATTTTGTTCCATGAAAACAAAGAGTAAAACCCTTCTACACAAGTATATGTGTTTACTTTAGCGCAAATACAATAATAACACGAATATTTATAGTGTTCGGGCAATTCCTTAAAGAATAGGGTTTTTTTGTTAAAAAAATCTGGCTTGAGACAAATCGACTCTTGTTCAGAATCATCTCATCAACCACAAATTGTTAATTAAACATCTCTGAAGATCATCTCATTTGAAGATAGACTTTTTTTAAGAAAAGATTGTAACAGTTACATAAAAAATACCATTTTGATACAATATGAATAATCAAACAAAAAACATCAAGTGCCTCAAGTCTTTCTGTCCCTTTATAATGATTATCGAATAAATGTTGTAACTCCTCTTCTGCAAATTTTTACAGTGGAACCTTGGTTAATAAGCATAATCTTAGTCGTAACGCGAAACACTCGTTAAGGGAAACAATTTTCCCATATAAATTAATGTAAAATACGATAATGTGTTCTATACGAAAAAAATACTCATGAAAAATTATGCGGCTTTTCCTGCAATGGTTAATAAACTTTGGACAAAAAATATCATACATTATATCTGAACACAAGTTTGAAAAATGATGTAGCAGACGCATAATCTGGGACTTCTCTTGCCCTCGTCACTCGTTTTGCGAAACGATACGAGCATTTTTGTTACAATTTGTTTTTTTTGTTACAATTTGTTTTGCTCGTTATGCGAATTTATCATTAAGCGAGGTTCCACTGTATATACGTGTGGAACATCAGGCTATAATAACTAAAATGCAATTAAATAAATTATATGTAGTTTCTGATAAACTCCAAGTCTTGTTTTGTAGCTTAAAAATCCAATTTAGTGCAGTGCATATGTCCCCTATTTACTCTGCCCTTGATAGATATTTTCTTTTTGCAAATAAATCGCATTCATTTAGTTCCTTTGGAATGAAATGATTAGATTTCTTTTTCCTACAATTTATTTTTTTGGTTCATAGCAAAAGAACCACATGTAGTCCAATACGAGACTGATCCTATTAGAGAAAAATCAATTTTACAGCAATAAAAAGGGTTTTCGTTTTATTAAGGAACATTCAATATTATTTTTTCTTCCTTTTATGTTTACCCTTTATTTCCAAATCTTTATTTTTGGAAACCCTACTTTATATTAGATTTTCATTTATTATCATAAATAAAATCCAAATGTAAATATTTGTTATGATTTTTGAATGAATTTATGTAAGTTATTTAGTCACTAACAACATAATTTTTAATATTGACTTTGTGTATTTGTTGGCTGACCCTGCATATATGTATATTTGTTAATTAGTTGATTTATTCTAGTTATTGTATTGAGTGTGTGTATTTCGGATAGTATTTGTGGTTCATTTTATATTAGATTACAAAAACATCTTCAGATTCAACCTCAAATTAAGTGGTCTTAACCAATTACAAAACTTCCACTACATAACAAGTATTTTACCCATCAACCATTAATATTTTTATAATAAGTTAAAGACGAATCGATGAAAGTCGAGGTAACTGGTTTCGTTAGTTTTTAGCAAACAATATTTTTTTCTTATTCGAAGAAATGAATTAATATATTAATAATCAAATATATATGTAATTAATTACAAAATTAAAACTTAATAAACATTTATTAAAACGTAATATTAATATAAATAACAAATAAACAATATTTGGCAAATACACATATATTATTTTGGGAAGGAATATCTAATATATATATCTTATTTAAAAATACTTTTTCAAGTTACTTTTGCTGTACGCAATAAAATCTTCATCTACATCTCTATTGACAGTTTCATGCTCAGAATCTGTAAAAGAAATGCCTAAACCTATTAGTAATGTTTACACCTGATTTTCCTTGACCGAGAGAACATACTGTATATACACCATATAATTATTAAGCTCACACCCATCATATAACCGCTGATAACCGATGATTCCCTTGGCATCGCACATCGAAATATGGCATAATTATTCGGTGTGAGCGTTAACTACAAATATACACTGTGAATTCCTTATTGGATTATATTTATATATTCAATATTACCAATGAATAACTAGGATTTTCTTTATTCCGCCAACTGAAACTCGGAACGGTAACTTCCATTCCTTCCCCATTGGGTAGAGGTTTAACACAACCATGATGTGTATGACCAGACATAGCCAGTCTTGGTCTAATTTGTTCCAAGACTTGATTTGTTGCTTCTTGACTCAGACATTCTCTCCTCTCTTGAAACTTCTCTGCCTTTATTGGAAGTGGTGCAGAATCAGGTTCATTACACTCCATATCAGACTGTCTGTATAATGGAAAATGCTGCATGAGTATTGGTTTGCTGTATTTTTCTAATCTGGTAATATTTCTGCAATTGCCATAATGAATATCCTTTGAGCATTTGAGAATTCCTAAAATTTAAAGATAATTGAAAATCCTCTCTTGATTTTACATGATTCTAACAATTACTTTCTATATGAGTAAGCTCTTTCTCGGCAGGTTTACATAAAAAGCAACCATCTCCTTCCATAGCCATGCTGTTGATTAGAACAAAATGATTTCCTCTCATGGTGACTATCTTCACTGGAGGTGTATTGAAACCATCCTCAAATCTAAAATTTAAATAAGGATTTATTCTAAAATAAATCACATATTAGTACCCAAAGATTATGTACACTATAAACGTTGTACCGATAATGAAAACCAATGTCATGGTTCCCCACAGTAACATATAGGCTTGTTGAACCAGGAACAGCAAATAAACTGTAAAACCTCTTTACATAATACTCAAATTCTTTGGGATTACAAAATGAGCCTTCGTCAGTTAAGTCACCCAATATGAAAACAATATCTGGTTTGTGTAAATGCATCGCAGTCTGGAAGGATCTGTGCATTTGCCATTCCCTGCGTAATTTATCAAACCAATGTCCATTTCTTGAACCCAACAGGTGAGTGTCAGCCAAGACCATGACCTTAACAGGTTCTTCATTGGAATACACTACTGAGGGATCTTCTTTTGTTTTATCTAATCTGGGATATTCACACTGAAACACATACATTTGGATGTAAACATAACCTATACACTATCATTAGGTATATAAAATTGCATTTACCTTGCCTTGAACCACATAATACACAATAAACTCAAAGAAAATGAGTAGACATGAAATTGCAGCAAAAGTTTTCACCATGAATTTTAAACTAAACCTCATAATTATGTGATTTCCCCCAATGAAAATGATAATATTATAACTAAAGGACTAAACGTAACATCATTGATTTTATTGTAATTCGCAAATTCCCTTGACAAAATATAATTTGAATAAAATGTCATACAATTTTATATCAGCTATATTTAGTGCAGTTTAATTACAGTTCCTTACCTTATCATTAATTTATATTGATTTAGTATTTAAATATTATAGAATTTATGTTTTAAAGTACATAATTATTAAATACAATTTGATCTCAAATTATTATCATTCAGTCAAAACATTATCTTTCTGTGTTTTATCTTATTTTATTGTACTGTTGGTTGCATATATACCAATTGTATAATAGTTTTTATGTTTTAATAGATTTATTCATGTTATAATTGTATCATGCCTGTGAGATCTAAAAGAGAGATTATAAAGATAACTCGTGAAAAAATATTTTACTAATTTGCTAAAATTTGAAGAGCGTCCAACTTTAATATACTAAAACATATATATTATTAAGAAATACCATTCTTAATGACTATTTGACTATTATACATATAATAATAATATTTATTGCAACAACAAGAATACAGAATAAAACCTTAATACAATAATAAAATAAAAAGTCAACTGATCCAAAGAATGATAGGTCTTTCTGCTCATAATTTTGACTCGTAAAGCGAGAATTTAGTTTAGCTAAGAATGAACAAAGTAATGAAAAAGTATTTTTTAAGTACATAAATCGGCAAAATGTATATACTATTGTTTTTTTTCATGTTCTTTGACAGTACAGTTCTTCTCTTGCCCTCGTCACTCGTTTTGCGAAACGATACGAGCA